CGCATGCGGGGACCGCCACCCATGTTGGCACACCCCTCACACGGTTCGTGGCCCCACAGGGAGCTCCACAGAAGGCCCCAGTGGCCCAGGCCGCATGCGCGGGCCGCACCCATGTTGGCACACCCCTCACACGGTTCGTGAACCCACGGGGAGCTCCACCGAAGGCCCCAGTGGCACAGGCCGCATGCGGGGACCGCGCCCATTTTGGCACACCCCTCACGCGGTCCGTGGCCCCACAGGGAGCTCCACCGAAGGCCCCAGTGGCACAGGCCGCATGCGGGGGCCGCGCCCATGTTGGCACACCCCTCACACGGTTCGTGGCCCCACCAGGTACCTCCACCGAGGGCCCCAGTGGCACAGGCCGCATGAGGGGACCGCGCCCATTCTGGCACACCCCTCACGCGGTTCGTGGCCCCACAGGGAGCTCCACCGAGGGCCCAAGTGGCACAGGCCGCATGAGGGGACCGCCACCCATGTTGGCACACCCCTCACACGGTTCGTGGCCCCACAGGGAGCTCCACCGAAGGCCCCAGTGGCCCAGGCCGCATGCGGGGACCGCCACCCATTTTGGCACACCCCTCACACGGTTCGTGGCCCCACAGGGAGTTCCACCGAAGGCCCCAGCGGCACAGGCCGCATGCGGGGACCGCCACCCATGTTGGCACACCCTTACGTGGTTCGTGGCCCCACAGGGAGCTCCACCGAAAGCGGTACCCACAATGCGGCACTCGCAGCTGCATATGGTTTGGTCCTTGGTCAGGCTAATTTTTCAAGGCCAGGAGCCATCACGGCTCAACCTCAGTGCGGCGTAAAGACGGGGTCTCGGGATCGCCTCGTGATTCTTCACGGTGTCGCGATTGTTTCGCAATGTCGGATCTCCAGATGCTCTTGGGCCTCCTCGGGGGCCCTCGTCGCCACGGCCGGATTCGCCTCGAAATCCTGGACAGATCGCACCTTGGGGAGGTCCGGGGAGTGACGGTATGGGAATCTAGTTGTCTCCCCAACGGTTGGAGCATTCCGTCCGACGGTCTCTAGCAAGCGGGGCCGATGGAAAGAGGGGGGAGGAGATGTTGTTTGACGACCGCCCTGCAGCCCACCATTACCTCTCGGATTGGAATGGCCTCCACATGGATATCCACTCTGGGCCTCTATGGGCCTCCAGAGACCTCCGCAGACATACTGCTCCCCCGCCCTCCTCCACTTGAGAAACCGCAGGGGACCATCCAGATTTAAGGTGCAGCTGCAAATGGGCAGCGCCCCTCAGACACAATGGAGGCTGAGGTCAGATAGAAGACGAACGTGCGACACCACGACCAAACATCATCCACGCGAGGCGGGACCACCCACAGAAACGACAGACAGTCTCCAGTGCTATGTTGCTCCCATCGTACTTCAGGGCCACATCCCAGTAACAATTTCGATCACCCAAAAAACTGTCGAAACAGTGTCGAACGAGTATCGCCTCCCAGGGCCCGACACGTGAAAACCCTCAAGTTTCGGTACTTCCTTGGTGCTCGAAATTCTTGCAGGCAGTCAAAACTAAAATAGGTTGGCACGTCCAGTGAGGGCGACACCTCCCGCTGTGCACCAGACGAGGGCAACACTTCCCTCCAGAATGGAGTTCGACTCCATAGGTGTGAAGGGGGCCTGGGACACACAAATAAATAGACACAAATAACCGGATTCCCCACATTCTCCCATATTTTCTGAGTTTATGTCTTCCCCCCCCTTCCCATATTTTCCAATATTTTCTGGGGATCGACGAAATGAATGGTGTCTGTGTGTTTTTCCCCTCCTGAAGGTGGAGACGCTCGACCCTCTGGGCCGGCCAGGCCCGGACCCCGATCTCGGAGGACTGGGAGGGAAAACAAGAGGACGAGGAGGACGAGGAGGTTGGGGGGAGTGCTAGGCTTGTGTCGGGCGTGTCCCTACAGAGGGATTCTCGACGAAACATAGAAAACCCAAAAATGCACCAAAAAGGTGAAACAATACTCAAAAAGGATTCCCCAAACTCTTTTGGGAGCATTCTTTGATTATGTTTGGGTTTTCTTTTTAAATTTTGTCGTCGAAAATCCCCCTGTAGGGGGACAGGCCCGACTTAATGCTAGGCTCGTGGGGAGATCCCGCGAGGACGAGGAGGGGTGGGAGGACGACGAGGAGGTCTCGTGAGGACGAGGAGGGGAGGGGGAGGAGGAAGAGGAGGAGGACGAGGATCCCTGCTCCCTCATCCTAGGCCGCCTGCCTTCGCGCAGGTGGTGTGCCCCAGCCGCGCTCACTTTCGCGCCCCCGGTGGTGCCCTTGCCGACGCTGCCTCCCTGTCTCCCCCTCATCCCCTCCCTCCTGCTCTCCTCTCCCCCCCTCCACTCATCCTCACTCCTTCTCCTCCTCCTCCTGCGTTCTTCTACCACTCTTTCTCAAGATGCTATTCTCCAAACCGCGCTTGCACTTAGAATTTCTCACTTCGCTCCTACAGAACAGGGCCCCGGTGCGGCCCGGCTGGCCCCGTCGATGCCGTCCGTCGCCGCCGCAACTGGACCCCTATGCCGCCACTTGCGCTGCGTTGCGCTACGTTGCCTTGCGTTGCCTTGCGTTGTTTTGCATTGCGTTGAAGTGCTTTGCATTGCTTTGCATCGCCTTGCGTTACTTTGTTTGCACCACATTGCATTACATTGATTTGCATTGCGTTGCGTCGCTGCGCGAAGCATGACATTGCTTTGCTTTGCATCGCATTGCGTTCCATTGCTTTGCATTGCATTGCTTTGCATTGTCTCGCCTTGCTTTGGATTGCTTCGCATCGCATCACATCCCTATTCGTTGCACATTGCTGTCTATTGCCTTGGGCCACATAGACCGCACCACATGAAGTGCATCACCTAGATTGCATCACATGTTTTAAACCACCTAGATTGCACCGCATCGAATGCAAGACATGGCTGTTTGTCCACGCTGGCGAATATGCTGTGTATAGTTCCAAATTCAGTTGATGATCCCCGAAGGGTTCCCTCCTCCTCCTCCTCCTCCTCTTGCTCCCCCTCCTCCTCCTCCTCCTCCTCCTCCTCCTCCTCCTCCCTTCCTCCCTCTTTGCTCCCCCTCCTCCTGCGAAGGGGGGGGGGGCAGGGTTTGTCGCGCCAGAGTCAAGCCTCTGCGAGCCCACTGTGGGCGCAGTAGGTGGGGAAATCAAAAGATACCGATACCGCTAGTCCCTGGATCTCTCTCGGGGTGCGGTCTGACCAGAATCCCACAAGCCCTCTGGGAGTAGGTGGTTTAGGGAGTTTTCTCCTCCCCTTCGTCCCCTTCGGGGAGGGGTTCCCCCCTCCCCCTCCCCCCTCCCCTGGACCCGGACGGGCGGTGCCGCGACCCATTGGAGCGTCCAAAACGGCTTCGGCGAGGAAGCCAAACTCATTGGTTTTACGAAGGCTTTGGCTCCATCTTAGTCCCTTGGGGGGGCGAGGCTAAGTGTCCCCCCCTTCTTTGATCGATGTCCTCCAAGATGGCCCCAAGAAGCGCCCGGGAGGCCCCGAGAGGCCCCACGATGGCCCAAAGATGGCCCCAAGAGGCCCCCAAGAGGCCCCCAGGAGGCCCCCAAGAGGACCCCAAGCGGCCCAAAGAGGCCCCCCCGAGGCACCCCCAAGAGCCCCCCAGGACCGCCGAGAGACCCCCAAGACGTCCCAAGAGGCCTCCAAGAAACGCCAATAAGGTATCCGAGAAGCATCCAAGAGACCTCTGGCCCTTTTGCTTGCCCTCCTCCTCCTCCTCCTCCTCCTCCTCCTCCTCCTCCTCCTCCTCGTCCTTCCGCCTCCCGCTTTTCTCCTCCCTCCTCCTGTTCCTCTCCTGTTCCTCCTCCTGTTCCTCCCCTCCTCCTCCTCTCCTCCTCCTCCTCCCCTCCCTCCCCCTCCTCCCTCCTCCTCTCCTCCTCATCCTCCTCCTCCTCCTCCTCCTCCTCATCATCATCTATCATCATATTCATCTTCTTTCTCCCCACTCCCTCATCCATCCATCCAACCTCCTCCTCCTCCATCCTCCTTCGCACGGTTCGGCCGTCCACCTCTTTGCCCCCGCGCTTCCCTGATCACCTGAACTCGCCTGGACGTCGTTTCTGGAAGGGCTGGTGGGGATTTGTTTCGTCGCAGCCGCAGGCGAAGGCGCCGGCGGCGTGGCGTCACAAGTCAGCTCGGGCTGGTGGGGGTACCTTTTAGTCAGCGGCCGCGGGCGAGCGCGCCAGCGGCGAGTCAGGTCCGAGCGGGCTACGCAGAGACTAATTAGGCAGAGGTGACGCGCAAGCAACAGCTACGCGCTGGCATCACGCAGCGGCCCAACGGCAGGTGGAAGGCTGGAGGGACTGAAAATGAGTGGAACTGCCAGCATGCAAAAATGCAAATCCGTCTGATGCGCCAAACGTCGGAATATAAACGACGGCCACGGACAACTCCGAGAGAGAATGCATGATACCGAACCTCAAGCGACTGCGTGGGAACCAGGGTAGCTGTGGCCAACGAACCGCCAGTCGAGGTAGGAAAGAGAAATGCAATGGCGAGGCCCCGGACGTCGGCGTGAACGCGAGAACCAGGGTGGTCCGAAGGACCGTCGGCCGTAGAATTGACGCCAGGAGGCGAGGGCACTGGCAGGTTGCAACTCCCAGGGTGGCGGAAGCCCCGAGACCCCGAGGCAGCAGTACGCACGCGTGCTGGAAGTGGCATGGCCGCGACGCAACCAAAATGGCGCGGGTCACCACGTTCCGGTGCGTGAGATGGTGTCAGGTTGACCCAACACGGGCCCGAATGCTCACCACGCAAAAGACGGACACACAAAGTGATGACAAGCGGAAACGGGGATACGCGAAGCGTCTAGAATTCCGAGGCGACCCCAGCCGTGGCGACGAGGGCCTCCGAGGAGGTCCCACAAGGCGAAAACGAGGGAAGGGTAGAGGTCCCTGTATCCCTTCCTCCTCTCACAGGAGCAGGAAAGAAGGGCGCGGGGGACAATGAGGGCCAGCGGCGGCGCGCGGCTGACTTCTCTCCATCCCCCCCGGGCCGCCGTTGGGCGGCAAGGGTGGCTCGCGGAACGGCGGCGCTGGGCCAGCGGGCAGCGCAGGTGCCGGGATGCCTGTCCGACCAGCCAAAACAGGGGTCAGCTGTGCTTCGAGTGAAGACAATAAGATCCTGACGTCGTCATTCATCACAATACGCGATTTTGTTTCATTTGGGGCAGTGTGACCCTCACGGATCGATCCTGCCTGCAAAAATGCGCCACGAAATGAGTGCCCAGTTCAGTGGCAACTCTTGGGAGCCTCTCATACTATCTTGTCGGCTTTTGCGAATAGACGCTGATCGACGCCAGTCGACACTAATCGACGCTACAACGACGCGAGTCGAAGCTAGCCGACGCCAAATCGGCGCTATCTCATCGGCTCCCCAGACGCTACAGATCGACGCCAGTCGACGCTAAAGACGGAATTAAGAGGGTACACCAGGCTCCCATGGTTTGCTACCGAACAAAATGAGGGTCCAGGGCTCTGGTCGATTTTTGTGCCCAATGTTGCAAACACTCACCAGTAATGAGGATGCGCGATAAGGATGCAAGGGCCGTGGACGCCCATTTCGAAACTTTTCGAGCGGGGCGCGGCCAGCGAAAGCGGCGAAAGATGGACCGAGGAGGCAAGGATGCAAGGGTACCCTTGGGATGGTTGCCAATTCTTACTATGCGGGTTGACTCTATTCTTGTAACGCTGGATCTCAGGGAAGAGAGGGGCCCATCGTGCATCGCATCCGTGAGGAGGAGGAAGAAGAGGTGGAGGAGGGGAGGAAGGCGGGTGTGGGTGAGACGCGGGTGCGGCGCGGGTGGGAAGAAAACCAGATCCACACGAAGCACGTGGGGGACATACTACCACAACTGCTACTGCTACGACTACTACTACTTCTACTACTGCTGCTGCTACTACTACTACTACTACTACTACTACTACTACTGCTACTACTCCCTACTGCTAGTACTAGTACTAGTACGAGTAGTAGTAGTAGTAGTAGTAGTACTACTACTACTTCTTCTTCTTCTACTACTACTACTACTGCTACTACTACTACTACTACGGTTACTACTACTACTACTACTACTACTCTAACTACTACTACAACTACGACTACTACGACTACTACGACTAGTGCTACCACTACTACTACTACTACCACCACTACTACTACTACTACTACTACTACTACTACTACTACTACTACTACTGCTACTGCTACTGCTACTGCGACTGCTACTGCT